AATGTTGCTCATGAGATTTTCTGAAAATGTTTGCAGCAGTTAATTCTGGCACAGGGAGTGTTATTATAGACAGTTTCCTGCTGGGAAGGTGATATGATTTTAAAACATTTAACAGGACACTGTCCTTTACATTGTGCCGAGCCTAGCTGTGGAACTTGTTTTCACAAGGTGCATCCCTAATGCAAAGCTACATTAGGCAGGAAACTTATTTTAGTTCTCAGTTTCCTCTATGCAACCCCTCTGACCATATGGGAATCAGCCACATGTGAGGATAGGAGATGCAGTAGGGGGACAGCCTGCTGCTTGGGATCTCCTCCAGGCTTCCCTTACAGGTGGTGCAGATTCAGAGGGCTGCAGGGCTCAGGTCTTCTTTGGTTTGGTGTGGCATGGAATATTTCGATTCTGAGTAGCAAAATCCCAGTGGAGAAACTAAACTTTCCACCCAAAGCAACTAGTTTTTGGAGAGAAAAAAAAAAGAAAAACATTAATACTTTCATCCAAAGCTAACTTTCTATTACTTTTTTCAATCAGCTTTGTACACCAGAAGTCAAAATAAGTAGACTATTTAGACTTATAATTTTCAAGAAATATGGACAAATTAGGAGTCTAAAATCAGAATTAGTGACCTAATCTGATCTGAGTCATAAAAGCATACAAGGACAATTGCAAAGAATGTGCTGAGTTAGAGTTAAGGAGACTCATTCTTCTCTTTATTTCTGCTGGCCTCGCTGGTCTTACTGAGCTTCAAAAGTCCTGTGAAAATGGTGCAGTCAGTCTGTGAAAATGGTGTAGTCATGTGCAGAGGATATGTGACTTCTTTCCTCATTAGACTGTTACAGCAGATTAATTGATGAGAATCGCAGTGGAGAGCTGTTAGTGTTGCCACCTTCTAAAAAACTGTACTAAAGTAAATATAAGTCTGTCTTTTTCATTCTCAGTGTGTACAGATGCTTATCTACTGAAGAGGCTATCACATGATAGGAAATTCCTGTCTTTTTTTTTTCCTTCTCAAGTGTTTGGAAGATTCAGTTCTGGCAGGAAGGGCCCTCTTTTTACTTTCTCTCTCTCTCTCTCTCTCTCTCTTTTTTTTTTTAATAGATATTGATTTCTGAACAGTGTATGATGAATTAACACACACTACTCTGACCCCGCCATCCTACTGCGGTGAATCTAACTCTAGGTCTCATTATTAAATAACTCCTGAGTTACTGTATTGATTCCCATGGGCATGACATTTCCATTGACTTACAGCATGGTCCTCCCAAATGCTCTGCAGCAAGCTGGCAGCACAGTTACAGAGCTGGGAAGAATTTCACCTTTACCATTTGCCTCCTCAGAATGGCAATGTGATTCTGTAACTGGCACTGAAGTAAACCTCATAATAAAACTGAAGGAGATTCCTGACCCTAAAACCAAATCCTGCTCTAATTCCTGCTCCCTGGCCTCATGTAATTCCCTCTCCTGATAACATCAGCCAGCTCTAAGAGCTGGTCAGATCAAGATAGTCAAATCCTTGGCCAGCCCAAACCTCCCCTTCAGAAGAAATTTGTCTCATGGAGATATGCATCCTGGAAACAATCACATATACAATATAAGCAATAAGAAATTCACATCACAACAGCAACTGCATAAAACTCATTTGAATTAAATGAGGAAAGCAATGCAGAATGATTATTAAATGGTATAGTGAATAGAGAAACATTCATATTTTCATTAGCTCAATGCTTAATTAAAGAAAAATAAATCTGCATAATAGCACTGCCTGGTTTTATTCTCCTCCTACAACATCAGGACCTGATTTTTTTGCAAGACTTTGATCAGTGATAAATTTTGCTTTCCACTGCAGGTTGCAGCTCCTTTCCAGGCAAAAGCTGTGTTGCACACAGGGCCAGCAGGAGGCTGGAAGTCCCAGACATGCACTCTCTCTGCAGAGCAGTGATGGGTGCTCACCTTCGGAACTGCCTGATCAGCGTCCGCAGAGTGTCAGGGGTTTGTTTGGCTTCAGTCAAAATTCCACTTGTGATTTTTTTTTTTTTTTAAATGTGGAACCAAAACATTTTTCAAGAGAAAGCCTTAAGGAAAAGCAAGGGGAAGAAGAAATGCAGTGAAGATATAGGTAACATGGTCTGTAAGGCATTATTACATCAGAAATACATCCCACTGACAGCAGGACCTCAGTTCTTTTACCTGCAGGTGACAAATGGCATCAGCTGTGCTACAGAAATAACAGGAGAAGAGGAAGCAGATCCAGAATGTTTCCAGCGCTACTTCAGTTACCACTGACAGGCTGATGAGTTGAACCTGGTGCCAGCAGCTCGCAGGGGCAGCGGCAAAGCTTTGGCAGTCCCCAGGGCAGCTTCCCAGCATCCCACGAGGCTGTTCAAAGGGAAAAAATGCCTTTGCCCTTTTGTGTCTGGAATTCGGATGTCTGGCAGAGGGGCAGGAGCGGAAGGCAGTTCCGGCTCCCTCCTGCCCCCCGCTGCTGCCAAAACCGATCCCCTCCTGCAGCAGGCCCTGCTCAGCCGCAGGCTCTCGGCACTTTCTGCTGCAGGAGGTGCTGAGCACTTCCCTACATAGCACCCAGCAACCCCCTCCCTATGCTGCAACTGAAGAAATCTCACAACTACAGTGCTTTCTAAAATGTATAAGCTTGCTATTAATCTCGATTTTGAGGATTTCCTTGATTTAGATGAGGTAGGTTTAGTTTTAGTTGATCTTTGGCCATATTTTGATCAGGGTTTCTAATGTGTTCTTGCAAATAAATTCTTCGCCCTAGGCTGTGGTAAGGCTTATGAAGTGCTGTAATCATGGCTAACATTCACATTTTTCCCTTGCTGTGCCAAGGTGCAGACATATTTCCTAAAGAACCTCCAAAGTGAAAATTTCATCCCTCATTTTCAATCATAATTAAGATGTTGCTGCCTGTTGCTGGTTCTTGCAGCTGAGTGCTGCTGGTCTTGGTGGGAATCCCAACAAAGGCTGATGCAGGCCTAGATGACCTTTAAAGTTCCCTTCCAACTCAAAAGATACTATGATTCTCTGGAAACCTTTGGTTATGCTCTGCAGTTAGATGCACCAAACTGCCCATGCTGAACACGAGATTTGTGGGTTTTGATTCAGTCTCACACTGCTTTCCCTTGTTCCTTTGCAGCTGATATTTGGCTACGAGACACCACTGCCTTTCTGCCCGGCAGTGAGGTGGGACCTGTTTGGATATTGGGGATCTCAAGGCCAAAAAGGCAGCTGGCTGAGCTCCATCCTTGGTGCAGTGCTGCAGGAGCAGAGAACAGGAGGGCTGTGGTGGGCCCACAGGTGTCTGGCAGGGTTGCTACAGGCCAATCACTGTGTCCTTTGAATGCTGAAGCAAAAGGACTTCTCCCTTCTGCTTGAAAGGGCCGGCTTAAGATGGAAATAGCTCTGCACAGAGGGGCACAGGTAAACATCCTGCACCCTTGCTCCTGAATGCATACAGTCATTAAATGAGGCTTCTCTAGGCTACCATTTTCCTTTTGCTTCTCTCTCTGCTACAGTTCACATCTCTCCTCACATTTTTTAGGCCATATGTAACATCAGTAAACAGTCTTGGCCTGAGGTTTTAAAGTCTCTGTGTGGTAACTGTAGACAGCAAATGTATTTTTTTAATTTTTTTTTTCAGTCTGTAATCAGGTTATTTCTGTTGCGTAGTTTCAATGACCAACTCTTCTTAACAGTCAGTATCTACAGAAGAAGTTATGTCTTGGAAGGCCCCTACTTTTTACACGTCCTTCCCTGTTTTTTCCCAGTGTATCTGAACACTTTTTTTTCTGTGAACCAAACAGACAGTCCATAAATGAAAGGTGACCTTTATGCACCATTAAAGAGTCCTCATGAATTGCAGGAAGTAATAGACTACATGGCAAAAACACCTTAAACCCCTCCTGCTCTTTTTTTTTTTTTTTTTTGTGCATTTCTCTTCAAAGTCCGTGTCTGTAAAACAGAGCCATAAGTACCAGCCAGATACAGCCTCCTGAGTATTTTGTATTGCTCAGCTTTACACAGCCCCCTGCCTTTGTCCTTCAACAAAAGGCTGCAGTCTATTAAATTCTTCTGCTCAATTTGAAATGCAGGCCATATTAAAGAGACTTCGCTATGCATTTTTACACATAGAAAATGCGTTGGGGATTATTGGAATGCCTACTGCACTCATCTACAGCTATTTAGTGTAAGTAAATGCCCATTTAGCCAGGGCTTGAAATGAAATATGATTGATGGAGCAGTATTACTCTCCCTACCCACATTACTATTGTTTCCCCTTTATTTCAGCTATTTACGGTTTTTTTCTGATGGCATTTAAATCCAGACTACAACTCCAAAGGCCTGCCCTTTTTCCTCACAGTTTCAGTTCCTTCTTACTTTCCTTCGTGAACACCCTCCCACGGCTCCAGACTCTCTCTTCCCTTATGGCAGCTTTGCAGCAGAAGCACCCATTTGCTTCACATCATGCTGTTCCCTTCACCCTGTCACTTTTGCCTGTACCAGCCTGGCTCCACCTGCCACATCTTTGTGCGTCACACCTTTCAGATAAAGCCACGAAAGCTTTCTCCCTCTCCAAAGCAGCAGGAAGGGGCTCTAACCTATTCCTCTGTCTAATGCTGTCTACCAGGAATCAGCTGCTTGGTGTGACTCTCTCACCCTGCTGTTGGTAAAATGTGTTTCATCTCCAAATAACAGCCGAGGAAAACTTATTTTTCCCTCTTCCCTGTATCTGTGTAGCTATTGACAGAGTGTGTTGAAAGGCCACCTGTGGGAAGCCAGCATTTTTGTGTGGTTTAACCTTCTTTCTGACCACCCTTTCCAACATTTTTCCTCCTTGCTTCTCACCAAGTGGCATCTGATCCCAGCCCAGGTCTGTGAGAGCCAAACACACTGCTGGGAAGGATGCTGAGGAAAAGCAGTGCCTAAACACAGAGGGAATCACTGCTTAACAAAGTGGCTTCTGCATGCACTTTGTAATTCTTCTTTTATTTCCAGCAGCTTTTTGCTGGGAGCATGTGAGCAGACACTGTAAGATCCACGTGGATTTTGGCTCCTGTCAGCTCCACGTATTTATCACACCTTATCATTGATTTAGATAGGATTTTTCTTCTCCCTGCTCCTAATGATGGATTGTTCCAGTATTTCACTTGCATGACATAAAATCTTCCAAATTCCAGCCTAAAACATTTGTTTGGTTTCAGGTCAGAGTTTCTTATTAGTTTAAGAATTCTTCATTCTTCCTGTATACTTGCCTGATGTACTAACATGAGGTGCATGAGAGAAAGCAGCAGTTGGTCTTGCTATATCCAGTTTTCAAAAATACATATTCTCAAATCTTCTCAAATTGTGTTCTCATCTTATACACATAATAACCATGCTTTCCTGGCTCATTTTTTTCATGGCTGTGTGCTCAATAATTATCTCTTCTGTATGAGAACTGCTCAGTGGTCAAATCTCCAGTACCACAACACGGAACTAAGATCAGATACATGCCTTTCATCATAAAAATCAGCAGAGAAAAACTCCCACAACCCAAAGTAAACCAAACTGAACCAAACCAAACCAGCATGAGAGTACATCAAACAATTTCTAAAAGAGTTCAGGTGGTATTAAACTGTTTAAAATACTTCATTATTATGAGTTAATAAGCTTGATCTGGGGAAACATTGCTAGAAAAGATGGTATGTCTGAGCCTTTGAGAGGTGATGATTTTTCTACATTTGGCTAGCACTCCAGTTAACTCAAATGAAAATTATCTCCTACTGTGGTGATTTCCCTTTGATTTACTTGATGGAGTAAGGGGCAAAACACACAGTCGTCCTGACTGAGTGGAGAGACTGATTCCTAGAAGAAAGAAGTGTCGGCATGCAGCCCAGCAGATGGAATATTTTTACATATATTTTGCAAAAGCACTGGTGCACTTAGCAAGGTACACTGTAACTTGAGATTTCTTCAATTCGTTTTTTCCCCCCTACAGATGAAGGATAAAGTCTCTTCTTCACTGAAGTAATGTCATAGCTCAGAATAGCTCTCCTAGTCTTGACATGATGTGGTCACAGCAATATGCTTGCTTTCTTTTTTTTCCCTGTTCAGCTTTTGCAAATTGGAATTTTACTCTTCTTCAACTCTTTAACCATTGTTTTACATCTCATCACTTTTCTCCAATTGCTTTATCTTTTTCTGCATTTATAGCCAAGACAATGAGATTCCAAAGAGCATCTGCTAGAAAGAAAGGTTGCAGAAAGTGAGAAAACAGTTATAATACTACAGTTCCTGTGCTTACTCTATAAAATCTTACTGTGTTTAAAGTAAGATGACTGCTTTCATTGTAATACTCCTAGCGGAATATACAGTTTTTAATGTGCTTGTTTAGTTTTGCTGTTGTAAATGTGGGGCTTAATTTCTTTCAATTACTTTTTTTATATCCAGTGTTTTTTCTACCTCACATTTACTCTGTTATCTGTGAAATAAGATTGACTGTTTAAGAAGCTCCCTATTTCCATTATGACTGTGAAAGACAGCTTCGGGTTTACAAAAGGTTGATATTATTATGAGCTGCATAACTTCAGCTCCCAGTTCAGTGTTACGAGAGTAACTTCAAATTACTCAATTAATTTCAGATTAGAATAATAAGACAGGAATTGCAATATTCAGCAGCTGAAACAAAATAGATCCCTGAACTTCTCTGAACCAGAACATTTTAGAGTAGCTCCCACAAAAATCTTTTCCCATGAAGCAAAAGCAAAGAAGTGAGAGACAAAACAAAGACATCCAAGATGATTTTTTCCATTATTATCTCAAACTTTCCTGCTTCACTCTGTGGAGTGTCCATTCAGTGTGGCTGAAGGAGGTAATGCAGGGCTTCATGAAACCTAAGAAATCAACTTTGTTTAAATGGAGAAAGCTTCTGTAACAATACTGGGTCAGTTCACAAATCCATGGAAATGTAGTGGAATTCTTTGGGTAATACAGAATCATAGAATCATTAAGGTTGGAAAAGATCGCTGGGGTCACCAAGTCCAGTCATCAACTCATCATCCATGTCCACTAAACCATGTCCCTCAGTGCCACATCTACACATTTCCTGAAAACCAAAAGTATTCAGTAAACTGCTTAATAAAGTGGTTTGTTAAACATGGAATTGTCACTGATTTTTTCAGTACTTTTTGTTCAGCACACTTTTATTTCCTAGTATACACTTTCAGCAATATTTAAAACATTCAAAATATTTGAGGTACTTAAACTCTGAAATATAGCTGAAATACTTTAATTAGCTAAAAGATTTTGTCGAAACAAAACATCCTGACTGAGTTTCAGAGGCTGATTATTTTCTTTATTAGCCAGAATTAAAAATTAAAAATAAAAAACTTTTCCAAGCCAGACATCACAAATGACAGAAAATAAATTCTTTGCTTGATTTGGTACTGCAAAAAAATGTTTGTTATGTGGCAATTAAAGGTTATATGAACTGATGGGCTGGGAACAGCACTGCTATCAAATGCTACGATTATGAGGTGAGACGATTATGAGAATTGCAAAATTCAGTGTTCCAAGTGATGCTTGATCTCACCGGAGTTCCTGAAGCCTAAGGAAGTGCTCCTTTGGCCCATACTGGTGGAGGGGTCCCCATGTTGACAGAAGGGAAGGGTTGTCTCCCTCCTGCTCTCAGCTCTGAGGCTGGGTGGAGGCCACCGCAATCCGGCCACAGATGTCTTTTAAAACACATGGAGTTTATGGCACTCTATGGTGCTTATCCGTAGATCAGTCAACTGGTTTTCTGAGTGCATTTTGTAGCACATCTCAGAGCAATTTGCAGGTGCAGGGGAGAAACTGTGGGCGCATGCTGTGTTCAATTTCAGTCTGCTGTCAAAGCAAGTCTGTTGGGAGTGGCCGTGCAGGTGCCCAGTGGTTCATTTCTGCAGCAGTGAGGAGGCACCAGCCAACTCAGCAGCAGGGCCAGGCACCTTTGTGGTTCAAGACCTCTAAGAGTTTCCTGTGGATTTCTTACAAAATAATACCATTTAAGATTGGTGTTGTACGTACAACTCTTGTGCTGTCACTATCTATCCACCTTCTGTGTGTATCTTGATGTTCCACCCACTTAAAATCTGTGGGGCTGGAAAAATTTCTCTCGTCTACATTTTCTGTGTCAGCCATGAAGCTACAGAAAGGACAAAGTCTCAGAAAGGGCAGGGTCACAGTTCCTGCTACCTCCTCTCCTTGAAAAGGAATGGGGTGCTCTGACCTTGGCTGCTTTTTGACTACTTGGGTCTATGTTGTAAAAAACCACCCCTCATTCCTTTCTTGTGCCTGGGCTTTTGAATTTTCTGTCCCAGCTGAGGTGTATACCAGTGAATATAAAAATGCAAAATATCCGCCTTTTTGGAAAGCACAGCCATGTAACCCCTGGAGTTTCACAGGTACTCACATGCTGGCACTTTGCATTCCTTTCTCTTCTGTAAATATGCCACTAAATGCTTGTAAGGTTGGGGAGAAAATGATGAACTTTGCCTGAGGACATGGCTGTCCAGAACAGTTCATTTGAACAAGTGCAGGTACATGTGGATGCAGTCATCATGAGGAGTGTATCTTAACACAGCAAAATGGTGTGGAAGTTCCTTCCTCTGTTAGCTAAAATGCCTCAGAGAATATTGCTTTAATTTACTGTAGGTTTAACACCGATAAATTGTGGTTCCTTTGCACAAAGTCCTTCCTCTTTAATTTCTATTTATCTTTTCCACCAAACATGTGCCTGGAGTTTGACTTGATAAAGACAGGATGTTCTTCATTAAAGTAAAATGTCCAGTATCATTTGGAAGCAGGTGATAGAAAATGGGAGTGCTTTACTGAATAGAATTAAATACATGTTTTAACTAGCTGTTAGTTGTTTTCCCATGCAGAACATTTCTAATACACTGAATTGGAATGAAAAAGAGCTGAAACAAATGCCTACTTGTAGCTAAAAAAAAAATAATACATTGTGGACTGTTGGACTGGATGATCTTGGTGGTCTTTTCCAACGTTGGTGATTCTACGATTCTATGAGATTATTTGCAGAAAAAAAGACCATGTATCCTTACGCTTCTGGAAGATCATCAAATCCCCAAAATAGGAAGAAATACAGGATTCAAATTTGCTTAGGAACTTGAAAACACATTACTCTATAGTACAACTTCATGTGGTTGTTGTTTTCCCGAGAGAGAACAGTGAACTTCTCAGATGTCTGGATTCTGTGTTTCATGAATAAAACTTACAATATAAAGTCACAAGAAAGTTGACAATTCCACTCTGCCTTTTCTTCTCCTCTGAATTTGGGTGGTCTCAGAAATTATGTTCTTGAGTTTTTCCATCCAGAGCAGATAGGAAGGAGTGTTGAACTTTTAGGAACCGTTTCCTTTAATAGTGTTTGATGAATATTTCAGTTGAACAAGTAGTCTAAAAGAAACAAACAGCTGGTTAAAAGGTGAAACATATTCAGTTGCTTTCATTAAAAATTGCCAGTAATTTCACTGTCACGTCTTTGAGAAATACTCTGTAATCACTCATGGGGGACTGAGGGTTCCATTTGTACAGTGGTCGGTAAATTAGAACGTAGAGTGGGAAAAAAAAGAGGAAGAAAAAAAAGGAATTATTATTTTTTTTCTGACTAATAGTTTCTGCAGTGACATGCAGTCTTGATTTGACTGAAAATATTGGAAACATACTAAATTCAGTGAACAGCCTTAAGAAATCTTTACAAGATGGTTACAGTGGAAGATGAATTAACACTGCCATCTCAGATTTATTTTAAAGTGAAGTGCGATTTATCCTGTGCTGTTGTTTTATCCGCATTAGTTCAGTATACAAAAGAAACTTTTCTGTGTACACCAGCTTGAAAGGCGGTTTCAGTGTGACCCACAAGCATTTCACCACTGTGTGTAATAGCTCTGTGTAGGTGGTAAGATGAGAACTCCCTAATGTCCAGGGGGACCTCCTGAGCCCCCTATGCCCTCTCTCTGGCCCCTGCATCCATTCCAGCCGAACTCATCCTTTGTAGGTCCTCACCATGATGGACACAATCCCACGTGTTCTTTGCTGCTTGCTGGGGAACTGGCAAGGATGGGGAGGTCATTAAATGCTTTTCTGCACAATTCCAGAAACTAGTCTTTCTGACACATACGTTAAACTCAGAGATGGGACAAAGTGGCAAACATTCCCTGAAAGATTTGAAGGCAAGCTGACTTCAGTCAACTGAAGATCTAGTTCATCAATAATCAATAATTACAGAAAAAGACAGTTAATCTTTTAGCCATTACTTTATAGATTGAGCTCTGTCCGAGATTTAGAACCTTGGCCAAATCAGTCCCCTTGTGAAAGAAGGTGGGAGCTTTTCCCACTTCCCTGCTTACAGGAGGTCATGAACAAGCATTACAGACCACAAAGGACTCACATAACTGAGCAATGGCAGCTACTCACCGTGTCAAAGGCAGAAGGAATTTGCATGCTCAGTGAAACAAAGATTTCAGCTGCAGATAGGGGGGGGGGGGGGGGGCGGGAAGTCATTTTCTTTCTTTACTCAAAACACTTCCACAAATTGCATTGACTAAAGTATGAAACTTCCTTCTGAGGGTGTAATTCAGTTCCTACGTGCTGCCCTTCCCTGATGTCCTGCTTCTTTTGTAACTGTCTGCACATGGGACAAATGTGAGTTCCTGAACATTTTTCATCTTTTCAGATGACAAGTACGACAGAATGCTGCACTGAGTGTACCCAATTGGACCTCGCCTGTTCAGTGTTCAGAGTTAATTCACTTTTCTTTATGTTTGTGCACAATGGTTGGATGAGAATAATTTTAACTATGTTCAGAAGTCTGTCTGGACTAGTCTGTAAAACAAACTTGAAATGTAACTAGATAAATGGAATGATAGACACATGCATATTTTTGCAATAGGAGTTACTATGTAAAGAGAAGCAAATAAGACACCAGCTAGAGCTAGGCTGTGCACCTTCCCTAGAGCTCACAAGTTTTTGCTGAGAAGAGGAAGAAAAAAAAAGTTCTACAGTGTTTGGGAATTTGGCCCAAGCTTGCACATTGCTAATGCAATCTCTGACCAGTGTTAATTAAGTTCAGGAAGTGCATGACCTTCCCAGGGAAGAGAGCATAGGAACTCATCACCAGCCATTGCTGGCCATACATGAAGTGAGTCCTGTGGCTGATGGAGGACTAAGACTAAAGATCTTTGAAAAGATCTTCATAAAGGGGTGGTTGGAATGGAAGGGGAATAAATGGAGCAGTACACTTCCAAAGGTAATCCAATTTTGGTACTCTCTGAGTTTACCATGTCTTCCTATCCCTGTGCTAGGCTGCACAGCCTCAAGAAATATTCTGCATGGCACCTTCCAACCTTAACTATTCTGTGAACTCAACAAATTGTGCAGGAGAGATCTCACACACTTTCCAGTCCTTCCTGCTTGTTATTGGTTTTCCATTACTCTGTTTCTGGAAGGCTTTGAAAAACCACAAGAACTTCCTTTCTTGTTGTGTTTCATCACTTTGGCCTCAAAATGAAACTAACCAAAATGAAAAACAGCCAGATAAAAAAAAAAAAAGTCTAGTAAACAAATAAACAATCAAAACCAAATCTTCTAAAATCCAGTTGATTTTGATTTTGTATCTGGTTTTGGCCAAACTGTGCATTCATTTTTAGGTCTTTTCTTCCTTGTTGGCTCTCACATTCTTAGCAAGGAGAATCACACTTGCTTTCAGCCCCCTCCCAGTCTCTGATATTTGCTTTTGTTTCACTGCCATTCAGCAACAGCTTTGCTGCTCTGCTACTGCTTGTGTCAGGAGACCATGGTTCTGCTGATTTATGACTGGAACTCCAGGCTTTTGGACAGCACCTAGTAAAAAATTATGACTTGTTTCTTTTCATTTAGGATCTGGAATACTTTTGTCACTTAGGCTGATGTTAACATGAAGAATTTTTCCAAATCCATTGTAAAGCTTTGTGGCTTCACTGTCCCATTAGCACAGTTTATATTCTAAGGCCAAATAAAAGGTCAGTCCTAAAAACTTTACCTGAACTGAATATGATCAATCAATAATTAACACTGTTCACCTCCACTGAGCCCAAATTTCTGTATACAGGATTGCTCGGTTTCTCTTAGTATGTCAGGTTTGTCAGCTTGGTTTTTCATGTGACCTCTCCAGGTTACATGGAAACAGCATGCTAGCAGCACTGACAGGTCAGGCTCTGCAGTTCTTGTGTCCTTGTCATCCTTTGTTCGTGGTAATAACTTACACAGTAAGCACACAACTGCAAGTAATTAAAAGAACATGGGGTAATTAGTTTTAATACAGATTATTGAAGAACAAACTGTCCTGTGCAAAGGAAAGGTATGTGGGGGGTGCGAAGAGGAGGTAAATGACTGTGTGCATATAAAGGCCAAGCGGCTGGAGGCTGGGGAATCAGAGCGGTTTATTCGAAAGGAAAAAGCCTGGCAAATCCGATGGCAAGTTCTTTCTGTTAACTCTAGCCTGACAGGGCTGAACCACCAAACATGGGGCCAGGAGGCACTGCAGATACCTCCAAGCTGGGCCTCCCCTGCCAGGACAAGGGGACCTGCTGGAGCAGGCGCTGTGGTGCATGGCTGGCAGAGGTCCAAGCTGGGCCTTCTGGGCCTGGCTCAGGCACCCTTGCGAAAGGAGAGTACTCCCGGCCACACAGTTCCTAATCTCTCTCTGTTTTATGTTTTTAGCCTCTTTGTTTTTCTTGTCCTGCTGCCAGTGGCTCAGACAGTGTGCACAGTCAAGCAGCAGCTGCCTGCTGCAGCTCCGAGGCTCACGTCATACAGGCAGGGCTGCCGGGTGAGAGCGAGCGAGGGGGTGAGGTTAGGTGAAACATCAGCCACGTCCTCTTGGCTTCCCTCCAGAGCCTTTCAATTATTTCTTTATGTGCTTTTGGTCTTGTGCTTGCTTGGCATTTAAAAGGTAAGCTCTGAGAGGATTTCACAACGAGTGCCACTTTACAGCTCAAAACAGATGCAAGCTTATCACCCTTGGAAATTATGTCTTCATGAACCCCTTCTCTGCCCTCCCTCAGGGTTTACAGCAAAGACACTGCACTGCACGCAGATCAATCATGAGGACTGTGCAACGGCCTAAAAATAATGCGAGTTATAAAAGTCTGGAAGCTGCTGTTTGCCTTCGGATTTGATGATCCAAATGCCCATCAAGACCAATGACTCCAGTAGCAGGACAATAGTAGATAAGGGCTGTACAGTCTTGTTAGCTTCCCAGGACACAGGGAACAGATAAAATGCTCATTATAGTTGTTCAGGGTCAGAACTTGATTCTGAATCTAGAAAAATGGGGTTGGAAGGCAAAATGAACTGCACATATATTGCTCCTGACAAATGCTTGTCTAACCAGTTCTTAAAGACTAGATGGAGACTCCACCAGTGCCTGAGGCAACCTGTTCCAGTGCTTCATTATCCTTCCTATTAGGGAGCTTTTCTTTATTCAGATGGGAGCATGGGCTAGATTCCTTATCTACCTGTCCAGTCACAGGTAGGTGGAGCTGCATGTTGCACCACTATCATGACTTGTACTGCGTCCTAAAGATAGTACGAGTACTTCCTTCAGGTCAGGGTGGGGATGCTGAAAGGAACACTGTGAGAAAGCCTGGAGTTCACATTCAGATAGCTGAAATACATCTTCTGCCCAGGATAAACAGCAGAGAAGTCAGAGAAGTAAATATTGGCATGAGCTTTCAGTTTGTGTAAGCATCATAGGATTGTATCCTAATTTTGTGATGGGATTTATACAATTGTTGTCAAGGGAGGCTAATGCACTTAAGATGACTCTAACTAAGTGCTATTCTTTAGAGGAGCAGGAGATTTGAGTACTCAGAGATCAAATATTTTATGTTTAATCTGGTCTGGCTCTTTGACAAATTTTCTGGCTGAACTGTTATACTAATGATATATTAACACTAAAAAAGTGAGTAGAGGATTTTTTTTCCAGATAGGTAACATTCTGACTTTAACTTTCAGACAATTAGCAACAAAGCTTTTTGAGCCGATTTCTTTTTTGGGTCTCCTGGCAGACACTATGTAAAGAGCAGCTTGTGAAAAAAGACATGCCTGTAATTTGACACATGGATGGCTTGCCAAGAGAGGTCATTGCAGCATCCTTAGTGGATACACTCACAAAGGCATGAGATAACATGCTCAGGAAGGCTGTCTGAGGGGCCACTGAATGCCTTGTAGGGTTTGGATCTTGCACAGTACTCATCATTCCAGAAATGGAGAAAAATCAGCACTCCTCAAACCCCGGGAATAATCTTAGTACCATGAGACATTTCAAAAAGGGCTGTTTCTTTCTTCCTTTCTTCCTTTCTTCCTTTATTTCTTTCTCTTGTGTATGTAAGAGAGAAAGGCAGGCAGTAAGCGTT